AGGCTCTGTCTCAAAAAAAAAAAAAAAAGATTCCAGAAGCTCCAATAATGCCCAACAAAAAAACTGTGGCTACAAGTCCCAGAACAGTCAGGAATGACACAGTGCAGCCTCAGTCCACAAAGCACACCGCCTGCTGCAGAGGCCCTGCACGGCAACACACGTCCACAGCACAAGCCATGCACACTAACTCCCAGCCCAGATCTGACATCCAGCAGAAACTGCCCTGAGTAGGACGTCTATTCTGGGCACTGCAGAAAGTAACGGCTTCCTGGCCTCCGCCACCATCACCAGTACAGGCCCCTCCCAGGGTAACCACCAACGTCTCCTGGGGGCATCACTGCAGAGCACCCAGAGGGACAGGGCCATGCAGGAAGCAGGGACGGGAAGGGCAGACTGGCAAAGCCCTCCAGCCCACAGGTGCTCTGCACTCACACAGCACTGCAGGGTCCTGCGGGGTGGGCCCCTCTGAAAGGCACAGGCCATCAGGAGAGTCAGTGAAGACCCCTGCCAGCTTCTCTGGGGCCTGCAGTCTCAGGATGAGCTGGCCAGGCTAAGTCTCAGTAAATGTTCTGCTGAATTTAGTGGGGAAAACCCTCCACAAAAGATGGCCTAACCCCATGTTAAGGAAACGCTGAAAGATGTTAGGTCTTTAATAAATCACAATCTTGACAGGTATTGTAAAATATCCAAAGAAAGAACATGGACAAAGAGGCAGCAGTTTAAAGGCACCTGAGACAGGATCGCCCAGGTGAGGCTGGTGAGCTGTGGCTGGAAAAGCTCCAGACTCTGCCCAGCTCCAGCGCAGCTCATCCATCTTGTCGCAGGGAGCAGCAGAGCAGCACAGCCAGCTGACAGCCCCTGCCCACCACACACAGCCGCCTGCCCAGGACACTGCTCCCTCTGTGGGCCACAATAACCAGGAATCGTGTAACAGCAGCTGCCTCCCACACAGACTCAAGGCTGCTCTGCATAACAATCTGCCGAAATTTCACACTACGAAAGAGAAGACATGATGTGGAAAATGCTGGAAATGAACTGCGGTTTCCGTTTCTTATTTTTAAAACCACTTCCTACAAAATAACGCTTTAGGTATCTGAAGAGCCAAACAGGCCTTCCCAGGGAGCAGGTCCCGCTGGACGCTGGGAGCAAGGGGCATCCCTTCCCTTGGAGCGCCCAGGGCCATCTGGGAGAATGGACCCCTGTCAGGTACTCTGTGGCCTGAGCACTGGCCAGCTGTCCAGGCAAAGCACAGCTTAACACAAAACCACAATACCTGCACTGCCCAACTGCCCTCGACCTAAAATGGGGCAGTGTCAGAGCAGTGGCCAGAAGGTGTCTGGGAGCAGGCCCAGACTGTCCTACCCAGGGCCCAACACCTGAGGACAGACCTGGCAGGACCTTGCCCTTCATGCTCAGAGCCACTTCCTCCTGTCACTATATAAAATCAAGCTTTCAAGAGAGGAGACAGGTCTTCCCTTTAACAGTGGGCAGCCTACTAAGTGCACATGTCCCAGGGTCTGTAGTCCCAGCTATTCGGGAGGCTGACACAAGAGAATTGCTGGAACCCCGGAGTTTGAGGTTGCTTTGAGCTATAATGCCACAGCACTCTACCAAAGACAATGTGAGACTCTGTCTCAAAAAAAAAAAAAAAAAATACACATATATACATCGATTGAATAGCCTATGTAACAACTCACACCTATAACCCCAGCACTTTGGAATACAAAGCAAGAGGGCTGCTTGAGCCCAGGAGTTCAAGACCAGCCTGGGCAACACAGTGAGACTCCATCTCTACAAAAATATTTTTAAAATTAGTGGGATGTGGTGGTGGGTGCCTGTAGTCCCAGCTACTCAAGAGGCTGAGGCAAGAGGATCCCTTGAGCCCCAGAGTTAGAGGCTGCATTGAGCTGTGATGACAATACTGCACTGCAGCCCAGGCAACAGAGCAAGATCCTATCTTTTTTCTTCTTTTTTGAGACAGAGCCTCAAGCTGTCACCCTGGGTAGAGTGCTGTGGCACCATAGCTCACAGCAACTTCAAACTCCTGAGCTTAAGTGATTCTCTTGCCTCAGCCTCCCAAGTACCTGGGACTACAGGGACCCGCCACAACACCCAGCTATTTTTTGGTTGGAGTTGTCATTGTTGTCTGGCAGGCCCAGGCTGGATTCAAACCCGCCAGCTCTAGTGTATGTGGCTGGCGCCCTAGCCACTTAAGCTACAGGCACCAAGCCAAAGTCCTATCTCTTAAAAAAAAAAAAAATTCTCGAAATGTTCCTATAAGCCAGTACTCGTCTAAACATGGGGTGTCAGCAGGACCAGCTCTGGGAGCAGGTACCCAGTACACACCACAGGTAGGACCGGACAGAGCAAAAATGGGGAGAGGGAAGAGAGGCAGAGGGAGATTTAAAGAGAAGAATCGAGAACTACTCCACAGGGAGGCTAAGGCGGGTGGATTGTCTGAGCTCAGGAGTTCAAGACCAGCCTGAGCAAGACCAAGACCCCGTCTCTAAAAATTGCTGGGCATTGTGGCAGGTGCCTATAGTTGCAGCTACTTGGGAGGCTGAGGCAAGAGAATTGCTAAAGCCCAAGAGTTTGAGGTTGCTGTGACCTGTAATACCATGGCACTCTGCCAAGGGTGACAAAGTGAGACTGTCTCAAAACAAAAGATCTACTCAAAGCTCCAAGGTCTGCAGCACAACTGACCAGACAGATGTGCTCTCAGAACTCACTGAGAAGGGTCAGACCGGGAGAGGCAAATGTGGAAAGAACCAAGGAGACCTGTCAGGACCTCCTTACACTAGAGCTGCTGCCATATATCCCAGCAGAGAGGCATACAACAGGCTGAAGGCTCTGCACACATCAGGCAGACATGCAAGTATGTACCCCTCACAAACACCTGCAGACATATGCAACAGAGCCCCACACAGACACCTGCAGACACATGCGACAGAGTCCTCCACAGACACCTGCAGACACATGCGACAGAGTCCTCCACAGACACCTGCAGACACACGTGACAGAGCCCCCCTCAGACACCTGCAGACATACAGGATGATGCCCTCCCACAGACACCTGCAGACACACATGACAGAGCCCCCCTCAGACACCTGCAGACACACAGGATGACGCCCTCCCACAGACACATGCAGACACATGCGAGAGAGCCCTCCACAGACACCTGCAGACACACGCAACAGAGCCCCACACAGACACCTGCAGACACACGTGACAGAACACCCCACAGACACCTGTAGACACACAGGATGACGCCCTCCCACAGACACCTGCAGACACACGCGACAGAGCCCCACACAGACACCTGCAGACACACACAACAGAGCCCCACACAGACACCTACAGACACACACAACAGAGCCCCACACAGACACCTACAGACACATGCGACAGAGCCCCACACAGACACCTGCAGACACACACAACAGAGCCCCAGACAGACACCTGCAGACACATGCGACAGAACACCCCACAGACACCTGCAGACACATGCGACAGAGCCCTCCTCAGACACCTGCAGACACACGTGACAGAACACCCCACAGACACCTGTAGACACACAGGATGATGCCCTCCCACAGACACCTGCAGACACACGTGAC